CTTAAGGTGTGCATGCCTGTGATGGACTGTGATCGGTACAGGGTGAGCCACTGGACAAAATGGATTGATGCATTTATGTTAATTTATTTAGCAGGAGAAATAACAAATGATTGCAAGCCCTGCTGTCACAAATATTAAACCCCTGTTAGTAGCTACTTTCTAAATCATTTGAATAGTTCCCACGTGCACAGAAAGGAAAATTTTTAGGGATCATTCTGCACATTTTTTGCTGATCTCTTAACAGCTCTGTTCACAGCAGATAGGTCCGCAGTATGACTCCTGATGCCTGTACCACAGAGCAAGGTCAACATAACAGGATTACTTCCAGTTTAACCAATCCACAATGATGGTAATAGGATCAGCTGTACCACAAAGTTATCAGTTCACCAAATCAATCCAGGGTTAACTGATCATGAATCTGTGGACACGCACGTATAAAGGGGAGGGTTTTAAGTAGCAGACCAATCATAATGAAGGGAGAGCGCCTTATTGTGATGGACAAAATTTTTGACCATTAATGGAAAAAAAAGTCTAAATGAAAAGTCAAACACGGCCAAAAAGAAACAAAACATAGTGTCATTTAACACAACCATAAATTCCAATCATTATACTGCATATTAATCACATCTCATCCCTCAGATGTAAGCCTCTCAGGAGTGAAGAGGACTTGAGAGCAGATAAAAATAAAAGAAAACACTAAAACAAAATTTCATCTGCTTAGTTGGAATTTTTAATTCAGTAATGTTTGAGCTGCAATAAAGCTGGAAGCTGATGACATGATTGCATCATATTAACACAAAAGGTGATCAGACTGAGGGAAATCATCCTGATTTTTCATCTTTTTTTTTTTTTTTTTACTTTTTTTTTCGTTTTACCTGGTGGTTTACCATTAATCCCCCATCAGTTTCAGCTTATTTTTGTAGCTTCAGTGTAACATTCACCCTTCTCATTTAAACTGTTACAAAAAACAGGGGAAAAAAGTATATGTATATATATATATATATATATATATATATATATATATATATATATATATATATATATATTTTATTTTATTATTTTTTTTTTTTGAAGATGAGAGAGTTGAAGATGAGGATTTTGACGCCTTTTCACAAGTTTAATTAGAACAAAGCATAGTAGTTCCAGTAGAAATCTGGCATCTAGATAGCATCTAAAACTTTGCAGCCCCAAGATTCTACACTTTGCTGCAGGTCTATGTCCTTGAGCTTTGGAGTCTTTTGCCCCCCATTCTCCTCACAATGTGGCTGGAGGATACATACGGCTTCTCCTCCAGCCTTGATTTACAGCTTTAGTTGTGTTAACGTTTCAATTTTTCCTCTTTACATCTTTGCAAATTTCAGCCATGAGCTTTTATAAACATTTCCTGATTTATGAAGACTGACACCTATCAGTTTTCATTGTTTTGGATTTTTTCTTGTCTATCCCCATTTTAAAGAATGGCCCACAGAAACGAGGCTCTGTGTTGCTCTATATTCATCAATCGGGTTGAATAAAAAAAAACATACTATTACAGAAATAAAAGATGCATTTTCTTAATAACTTTTTAGACATCTTCGCCGGGTGGCCAGTGAGTGTGTCTCTTATCATTCAGCATTAAGTAAGGTCCAGTATTCAACGATGAAACCACTGGGAAATGAGAAGAAATCCCCCATAATGTGATATCAGATGGTAAAACTAAAACAGGCTAATTCTATTAGTTACCAAGAGACCCGTTGAGGTCATTTTAACAACACAACCCTTTAAAAAGTAACAGAAAGGTGACCTATATACTTCACTTAATTTGATACAGAACTCTTGCACAACACAGTAGAGTGTCACACATTGTTATGATTGGTTTTAAAAACACTTAGTTATTTGTTTTTTTGAAAAAATGGGGGGAAAAGTGCAGCTAAAAGCCAAACAGATTTACTGCGGATAAACTATGCAATCAAGCAGAGCCATTTTTTGTCAGATGTCCATCCAGCACAATGAAGCGGGAATCTGATGAACAGCTGGAGCTGAGGAAGAAACACTGATTTACTTAACTTTGTAGTCATCAGATATGAAAGTAAAAGCTCCCATGTGGCTATTATACCTACAGAAATATCAGGAGGTCCTGGAAACGCTAGCAGAACTTTACATAAATGTCAGCCCACATGGCACATCACACCGTGGGTGGGAGCCAATAAGAACAGAATAAGATTACAGATGGAAATCATGATTCGAATGAGTCTAATAAGGTATCATGTGAAAGTCTGTAACATATACAGTAGAGTTCTCTCATTTTACCAAAATACCTGTTGAGCTATTGCCATAGTTATGCTGCTTTAGCCTTAGGCTGCTGGAGGACATAGGGACCATTTTTCATCATTCTGCTTCATTTTATCTCTATTTTTCCTTCTCTGCAGAATTTGTTAGTTAAATCTCTAATGTTATGCACTCTCTGCTTTAGGGGAGTGGCAGCCTAGTAGTTATGGCATAGAGCTGAGGTTCTAAGTTCGAGCCCCAACCCACAGACTGCCACTCTGGTTCTCTGAGCAAGACCCTTGACCCCACACTACTCCCCGCCACCCCATGATGGCAGCCCACTACTCCCCAAGGGGATGGGTTAAATGCAGAAGTAAATTTCTCCAATGTGAGATCAATAAAGTTCAATTATGTAATTGTTATTTTACCCATAGAAGCATCACCTGGTCTGTTCCTGCTTGGCTGTGACTCCATCCTGGAGAGAAATATCAGCTGTGCTGCTGCCATCAACACCTTTGTTTATAGATGTTGGAGCTTGGCCTGTTTTTCAGTGTAGTCCTGTTTATCTGACTGTGACTAACTGTAAGTGCTCTCTTTGATCCCGTGACATGTTAGCTGGCTCAAATCTCATCTGCCTGGCTTTGTGTTTCCTGGACGGGGCCGCCTGTGGAGGTGGTTATCCGTTGCCTTTAGTATCTCTGCTTCTTTTTCTGTCTGCTTCTGTCTCCTTAAACCCCAGTCGGCCTCAACAGATGGCCGTTCACACTGAGCCTGGCTCTGCTGGAGGTTTCTTCCTCTGAAAATAGAGTTTTTCCTCTCCACTGTCGCTAGAAGCATGCTTGGTCTGAGGGATTGCTGTCTAGTCTAGGAGTCAATGCGATCAGCTGGTTTACCTAAGATAGAAAACGGAACCCCGTTTTGCTTTAAAAGCTTCTGTTACACAGGGTTGGTACCAATATTAGATTTTTGCGCCCTCTATTTCTGCCACGTGCACTATATATGTCTAAATGTATATATTACCGGGTGTTGCCAATGTAATAAAGTAAACTAGTATGCTATTAACAGTAAAAGAGTTACTGTATTTAGCAAATAATTTTTGATCTCTGTGGCACAAGAACAATGGCAAACAACAAATATAATAACAGGGATTAATCAAAAAAATAATAAAATGTATAGAAACGGGTATATTTAACAAAATTAAACATTACAACATAAAGCAAATAATTTAATTATCTATATAAAAATTTACCTGAAACCAGATTAAAATTATTTGAAATTGAAGAATTAGTCCTTAAAATTAGGTAAATATATAAAACTACATACAAATCTCGACTTGAAAGACATTTGATCTGTGTAAAGAGGAAGAAGTAACTCTGTTAGGACAAGACCAAACATATTGCAAAATCGTGTTTTCTCCTATTGGTGTAAATCGACTTTCAACCAATAATTCAGGGCTTATATTGGACTTAAACCATTTTACCTAAAGCAAACGGGAAAAAAATGAAAAAACTTCCGTCTCAAGTCCAAAATTTGAAAATATCTGTAAAAAATGAAATGAAATAAAGTTTAAAAAAACTAAATTGAAAAAAATAAAACCTGAGAATACAGCACATCAACTTTCATTAACTTTTTTTCCAAGTTTTTCAAAATTTCATTTCTGGATTGTGTTTCTCTCACATATTTGCAGGGTTAAAAAACATGTTTTTTGGGGGGTTTTTTGCACAAAGTTCACTCCATATATTTCAGTCTCTAGATGTCTGCTAAACTGGTACAAAAAAAAGGAATTTTAATGATTTATACTTTTGTTTGTGAAACATGTATAATATTTTTTTTCCCTTCTATACTTTGTGTCAATGAATTATAAATAAATAAATAAATTGCCCCCTATAATTTATTAAGCTTTTTTGTTTAAATGAATGTGTGCTCACCTCTGCAAGTGTCTGCAGCTGTACTTCATTACAATATTTTTTTCTCACCCTACAATTTACACCCTGTTCTTAACTTTCCAAAGGCCTCTCACACAGCGAGGAGGAACAAGAAGACTTACAGTGTTTCAGATGTGCATCTTATCCACAGAGCTCAGGGGTGTTTAGTTTGGCTTTACAGCTGGAGAGCTGTTCCTAGAATTAGAGGTTTCTCAGGTGGAAGTTTGGAAAACTAGCCTGGGGCTTAAGGGGCCAAAAGCTGCACAAAATCCTTTAGAGCCAGATCTGCGACAAATATGCAACGAGGCCCATTTGAAGGTGGCGTAGAGCATCTATAGCATATAAATGAGGTAAAACAGCAAGAGTAATTAAGAGGAATGCATTGTCAAACTGTGTGCTTTTATTTGAGACTCAACAGAGGGGAAAAGATAGTGTCCTTAGATCTGGCTTGTTTAAAGAAGGGGGAGAGGGAGTGTGAGCCAGTGGGGTGGGGTCTGCATGCATGTGAAGGTAAAGTAGTTTTGGTGGCCAGCTGGAAGTGGTGACAGCTTCAAGTGCCAAGAACGCTGGAAGCTCAGGCTGATCTGTGGGACTGATACGTCTATCTGCAGGGCTCAGTTTGATCTGGCATCTTTCTTAAATCCAGAGTTTTCCATAACAGAACAGTCCTTAAAACAAACTAAAGAAAATAAAGTGGCTGTGTTTGCATTTTTAGTATATTAATCTTTTTTCTGTTGCCAGAAAAAAAAAGAGAAAAATTGAGCGATTCCTTCAGCCAAATGGAGTTTGGTCATGATATAAGCTCATGCAGTGGGCCGTCCAGCTCACCTGGTTGATGTGTTTTAGTTTGTCAATGATCTGGCTGATGACCGGCTCCGGCTGCTTGTTGCTCTTAGACTCTGAGGCTGAATGAAGCCGTTTCTGGCTGGGCCCAGCAAACCTGAAAGAAAAACAACACATTTTGCTAAAGAAGCACAGTGACCATTGCTCCATCTTCCCAAATACGGTGTTTAACACCATCTAGTGTCGGTTAACTTAATGACAGGGCTGAGATGTTTTTCCCTGCAGGCAGAGCCGGCTGAAAAGTCCATTTGTAACTGAGCTCGGACTGAACGGATACCTCTTCCCTCAGTGGAACATTTTCCATAGTTAAAAACAGGATCAACAGTTTTCCAGGATTTAATATTTGAAGCTAAAGGATGAAATCATCTGCAAACAAATGGGACTTTCTAAACAAAGTTAAACAGAAATCAGCAACAGCTTTCATGCATAATTGGCCTTAACTTTCTTATGAGTGGATTTACTCATGAAGTTTATGCACAGATTTTGTAACGATAAAACAAAATCCTCAAAATGGTTTAAGTCATTATTCAAAGTTTTGTTAAGATTAATTTCTTCATATAAGACTTTCACTTAGAGACGCTCTAATCATCTGTGTTAATGCACCAACCGTAGCACTGCTGTATTTCTGTGCTGCTGCAGCTTAGAGGGTATATTTAGCTCCCACCATGAAACAGGCGAGTGCCTACAAGTCTTCATGTGTACCTTAGGAAGTGGAGCTCTATTGACTGTTTTAAAGAGGAGAAGGAGGAGCTGCTCTGCCTAAAATGTGCGTCTGCTCACAGGACTTTCATGCTCAGACTTTCCTGTACATGTTTTCTCAGCTAGAGCAGGATTAACCAATCCCTTCATGGCTCTAAAGACAACATTAACAACTGTTACAAGTTGGAGATCTAATTATGCAGAACAGAAATTCATTACTGTGAAAGGAAAAAATAATAAAATGAAAAAAATAAATAAAAAAGTAAAAAGACAACATTAAATTTACAAATGGAACTTCAATTAAAATACATCAGAAACCTAGAGTTGAAGCTTTATAGTAAATAACAGTTATAATTGTAAAAACAAAACTAAAAAATGAGAAATCACTTTTTTAGAAGTATTGCTGTTTGTCACTTTAATTCATGTTTTAGGTAAGTATTTTAAGGCATTTTGGAGAATTTTATCTAAATAAACACACATTGCTTGATTCTCATGTGTGATTTAAATGAATACATTTTCTTAAGAAACAGATTTCTGCTACTTGTGGTTCTGATCCCCATTAGGCTCACTTGACTCTACTAAACCTTGCAGGTTTTGACAAAAAAAACTGTTAAATTGTTTTCACACGTATGAATCAATTCCATGTATAAATCTTCATTTACTGTCGGAAAAGCTATACTAAACAAACTTTCATTATATATACACTATGTGTGCACAAAATGATAATAAAAATCTAAAGTCACCAATGAATTGAAGAAGTACCTTTGTTTTAAGAAGTTTTTCATGGCAGACTTCTTTTCACATACTTGGATATACAAACGGATTATATAACGAAAAAGTCCAATCTTTCAAAACGTAGCAAATGAAAGAGGAACAACCTTTAAGAGAACCTTTAACCAGATGGGTTTAAAAAATTACTTCGACGTACAACTTAACAGAAGAAACTGCAGCAGGAAAATAATTTTTCTAATAAACTCTGTATGGAAGCCAGGATTCCTTAACATCTGTGATGTTTTTTCCAGCAGTAATACAGTGAGGATGAACTCAGGTTGACTTTATTTTCTCGATAATAGAAAATTAAGATTCACTTTTGAGCAAAAAAATATATTTTTGATAATAAAAGAGGGACAACCCTTAAAAAATGGAGAAATAAAGAATAATAAATAAATAAATTAATAATAATAGATACATTTTTTTAAATACGCAAAACAATAGATTTAACAATATTTCAGTACTGCATATGAGTATTTTAGAAAATGAAGACACCAGTAGATTGACACCCTTAAGAAAATAAAAAAAAATTTTCTGCATTTTCTCTTAAACTCAGGGCCGCATTTAATTAACATCAATGATGGTTTCCTTGTAGTAATGCAGTGAGGGTGAAGCTAAGCTTGCTTTACTTTCTCAATAATGAATTCATGTTTTCTTTTTCTTTTTTATTACCATTACTTTAGGAGTTTGGAATGATATTTGTGTCAATAATTGTTGTTTTCATTGTTTCCTGATGTTTTGAACCTCATATTTAAAGTGAAATATAAATGCAGTCGTTCGCAACCGAAGCCCTGCCCTGGCTGGAGGTGTTTTTTGCAGGATTAGTATCATCCTCTGCAGTAAATGAGTGGAAAAAACAACAAACTGAGCTTTTTTCATCATCATAAAACTCAGATCTGAGCCTTGAGATAAAAATATACCAAGGTGTGTGTGCAGAGGTGTGAAACATGAGGTCATTCTCTGCTCTCATCTCTGTGACACTGACCTCACTGCTCGGCCTCACACTTGAACACACGCCTCCCTGACATCCGCCTTCATTAGCCTTTCCCTCTCCATGAAGTCAGACTTTTCATTAAACTCAAATTATGTTTCCCCAGTTATTTATTCTCCTTATTAGCCATGATCTCATCCCCTCTCAGAGCCTAATTATCACATTAATAATGGAGAGATGTGTGATCAATTAGTCAGAGGAGAAGGAGAAAATATGGGTCGAGGAGGGACGGTTAGAGGAAGGAGACCGAGTAAGGATAAGGAGCCGCGGCAGGTTAGTGTTTCATGTGATAAATGCTGCTCAGATATTTTTACCCCGTATCATTTAACATGCATGGCTGCGCTCCCCTTAGATAGCCTCCATTGTCAGCTCTCTGTTTGTTATCCAATCCCTGCTGACGCCTGCTGAGCTGATCAGATGGGTTAACTTTTCTGATAAGCTAATCTTATCAGACCCCAATTACCTCTGAATTAGGCCCAGTCTGACAGAGACCACCGCCTCCCACACCAGTATAAACAGACGAGGAGGAAATGGAGTCCAGGTAATGGAGTGAGGAGTCTGACGCTCTGGTATCACCTGATGGATCACCCCCCCCCAACGGAACCAATGGTGCCAGGAGGGGCAGAGGTCAGCGTGTTGTGTTCAACTGTGCGGATATTACTGCTAATGCACTTCCTGTGGTTGATCGCTCAGCTGATGAAAAAGGAAACCAGGTTTATCTGTTTATCTGTTCTGGTTCAGTAAGGACACAAAATCTGCTCGCTCGTATGTTTATGAAAGTTACATACGAGTCAGTACTACAAGTCATCCGTTTTAATCTTTTAGAATCAGATATATGTAAACAGACCGACACAGCACTCTGTGTAAATTATATTATTGCAAACTGTATACAAGGTGCTGCACTACATACAAATAGAGATTTTAAAAATATCGATACTTTGAAAAGTATTGATACTTAAACAGATACAGATACAAAACTAATTTAGTATTGAATCGAAATTAAAGACAAGTGTTACATCCCTTGGCTGGATCTAGGAAATAAAAGGGACCAATATAAATTTAGACAGTGAATCCAAATGGTATTTAAAGAGATTTATTCTGCCATCTTTTTGGTAAAAGCTTGAGGAAGAGCTCAGGCCAAAATAAACAAAAAAACCCTAAAAGAAAAAGAAAAGTGGACTTACCTAACTTAAAGTAAAACCAAAATATTCAAGCCTACAAAGTAAGCTACCTAACAAACACATAAACAGGAGAAAACTGGGGTAAACAAAAAGGCAGCTCTCCCTTACAAAAAAACAAACAAAAAACATCTGAACAGGATTGTAATAATAATAATAATTGGACTTTATTGATCTCACCCTGGAGAAATTTAACTCTGCATTTAGCCCATCTCTTTGGGGAGCAGTGGGCTGCCATTGTATGGCACCCGGGGAGCAGTCTGGGGTTAAGGGTCTTGCTCAGGGACCCAGAGTGGCAGTCTGTGGCACTCAGAACCTCTGGGATCCAAGCGCAGTGACCTAACCACTAAGCCACAACTCCCCCTAAGCATGGCAGCAAATTAACCGCACATTCAATTCTACGCACACAACAGAGTTGCATGGCAGACAAATGGTACAAATGGTACCCAGAGGTATCCAAACAAAAAGCAGGTATCATGGAGTTACAGCATGGATGAAACCTACTTATATTTTCTTATTTATCAACTCTACATCTTAAAAAATAAATTGATTCAAGAATATCCACATAACAGTATTCCTTTAAGCAACAAGGCAAACCTTCTAACTTCAGCCTTTTGCAGCTTTTAAGCCGCACACACTGGATGTGAGCGTGACGCACTGTTCTTTACTGTCTCTGTTATTATAAACGTTATTATTTACAGGTCCATGCCGTCACACAAGGCTTTTAAATAGGGATAATTGCGGGTAACGGGTCGGGTCTCGGTTCTCAACTCTACAGGTGTGGGCGATACAGTTCTGAAAAATCAGACCCTTGCAGAAGTCTATGAAATGCAGCTTCACAGGCTGTATACATATATATATATATTTTATTGTATTTATATTGTATTTTAATACTCAATATTCATTAAACTGAATAACCGAAAAATTAAAACACTTCATAAGTGGTAGTTTTGTGATTTGAAGGAGATTTTAGTTTATTTTATTGCCATATAGTTTGAGGGGTTCTAGGGACCAGTCTGGTGTGACCACCATTTTCTTCACGCAGTGCAACACATCTCCTTCACATAGAGTCAATTGAGGCCTGTGGGATTTTGGTTCAGTCCTCTTCATTGACAGTGGGAAGTTCCTGGATATTGGCAGGAACTGGTGCACGCTGTCGTATACGCCGATCCAGAGTATCCCAAACATGCTCAGTGGGTGTTTGTCTGGTGAGTATGCCGGACATATAAGAAATGGGACATTTCAGCTTCCAAGAATTGTTTACAGATCCTTGCAACATGGGGTTGTGCATTATCCTACTGCAACATGAGGTGATGTTCTTGGATGTATGGCACAACAATAGGCCTCAGGATCTCGTCACTGTATCTCTGCATTAAAAATTCCATCAATAAAATGCATCCATAACAGACGCCTGCCCGTACCATAACCCCACCGCCAACATTGGCCACTCCATCCACAAGATTGACATCAGAAAACCGCTCGCCCACACAAGGCCACACACTGTCTGCCATCTGCCATGAAATGTGTAAACTGGGATTCATCCATGAAGAGAACACCTTTCCAATGTGCCAGACGCCAGCTAATGTGAGCATTTGCTCACTCAAATTGGTTACCACGAACTGGGGTCAGGTGGAGACCCTGATAAGGGCAACAAGCATGCAGATGAGCTTCCCTGAGACATTTCTGACAGTTTCTGCAGAATTCATGTAAAGCGACTGTTTCAGCAGCGGTCCGAGTGGCTGGTCTCAGACGATCTTGGAGGTGAACATGCTGGATGTGGCGTTCCTGGGCTGGTGTGGTTGAACGCATTCTGTGGTTGTAAGGCTGCTTGGATGTACTGCTAAATTCTCTGAAATTCCTTTGGGACCGGCTAATGGTAGAGAAATGAACATTCAATACATGTGCAACAGCTCTGGTTGAAGTTCCTGCTGTCAGCATGCCACCTGTGGCATTATGCTGTGTGATAAAACTGCACCTCTCAGAGTGGCCTTTCATTGTGTGCACACCTATGCACTAATCATGGTGTATAATCAGAATCTTGATATGGCACACCTGTGAAGTGGGATGGATTATCTCAGCTAAGGAGAGGAGCTCACTATCACAGATTTAGACTACTTTGTGAACAATATTTAAGGGAAACGGTTATATTGTGTATGTGGAAGAAGTTTTAGATCTTTGATTTGATCTCATAAAAAATGGGAGTGAAACCAAAAGTGTTGTGTTGAGTGTATGAAGCAAAGTTGAATAAATGCTGGAACGCTTGACACAAGGGACAAGCTGGCAAAGAAAAGATGCCTAGGGAGTGGTGTAAATAGGCAACGTAACGGAAAAGAAGACACAGGTGAACGCTGGTAGGGAGTGGAGAGGCTGATTAAATGAAAATTCCAGGAAGTAGAAAAGAGACCAGAACTTGGTGCACCAAAATAAAACCGGATTAACAACAAAAAACTGAACCAGATACAAAATGAAATAAAATTTATCAGCAGAGCTGCGTGTGAAAATTCAATGTTACCAAAAACAACTGCTTAAGTCAAATTATCTTCAACACAAACCAGACTTCAGATTCACTGTAACTCTGAAGTTGAAAGTTACAAAATCAAACTAGTCATGCATTAATAATACTTTTCTTATGTTTTATTTTCAAATGAAACCATGAATATTTTATTTGCTGCAAATGTATTCCTAGTTTTAAGTTTGGGGTTTTTTTTTTTGCACATTTTCAAAAACATCAGTTCTGTAATACCAGAAATTAATTCCTATCAAATCAGACATAAATAGAGTAAAAGAGGCATTCAGGTTTTCCAGAGACAAAACTCATACCAGCAATGAAACTAGCCTGTTTTTAGAGAAATGTTTATGCGTTGTATCGTTTACCTTAGTAAATTTAGTAGGAGGGCGATATGCCCCCATTCAGAAACAGTAGAATGTCCCTTCAGGGCTTCCTTTGTGGGCCTCAAACTCTTGACTATAGTAGGAAGCACCTGTCTGTTATTCGCAATTAATTTACTAGATGAGGGGTAAATCTTGCACACCCTCCCTTTAAAAGTATTATGGAGGACTTTGCTATTTTTTTAAAAAGACCCTTCCTCTCCACAAAATGCACATGCACAACCCTGTACCTGCTCCGGAGAGGAAACATCTATTAGAGCATGCATTAGCCCATTCACGCTATGTTTAAAAGTTGCTGTTCTCATAGCTCATACAAGGGTACTGTGTCATACACTTCGTAGACATTTTTTTTTTTTTTTATGACCATCGGCCATTTTTTAATGCGATCATCCACCCAGGAATAAAACATCGCCCTCTATACCTATAAGTTATTGTTTTTTTTTATTTTTTTATCTTTTATTACATTACAGATGGGTGCTGATACAGATAACTTTGCTCTCTACTATAAATAAAAACTAGCACTGAAAAGACGAACAGTTCTAGATTTGTCATAATTATTGTTGATATAAAAGGCGTTAAAATTTCATAATAGTTCAGACTCCAAGAAGTTAAAGGATCAAAATCTTAAATACCAAATTGTAATTCAGCCATTTTATACAGGATGTAATGGTTCAAATTAGAAACAATCAAATATTCTATTTTAGATTTTTTTGTTAGGGAAGTGTTGGCCTAGTGGTTAGAGCAGTGGGCTTGTGCTCTGAGAAGGTTGCAAGTACCTGGTTCAATCCCCATAGCCTCCACCCTGGGTCCCTGAGCAAGACCCTTAACCCCTACTGCTCCTCGGGTGGCGCTCAATGGCAGCCCTCTGCTCCCCAAGGGGATGGGTTAAATGCAGAGAGTAAATTTCGTTGCTTTGTACTTCACAATGAATTCTATTTTAAAATGCATGAGAAAATCATATTTTTTATGTAGCATTAGCAAGAATTTTTAAATCTTAATCCATGCCTTATTTCATGATTCATAAAATAAAACAACATTTTTGACTTAATAAACATAAAAAAAACTGTTGATCTTCTTTTCCCCAAAACTAATAAAGTCTCTGTAACAAGCTTCCGTTTTGAGTCCCTTTAACTTCCTTTTTGTTCTTTGTAGTGATTAAATGAAATATAAGGCTTTTTAATGTTCTTGTTCGATGGATGCTCAAGCATCAATAATTAGGAGTTCGATGCTGAGGCTGAGTTTCTTATCACTTTATCACCAGCTTGTGATTTTCCACCTCCATCAGATCCAAAGCAAGGAAGGGAGCGTTCTGTCTTGATTCTGCATCAAAATCTCTCTCGCACTTATCAGAGTAATGCTCTTTGATGTGGTGCGAAGTGTTGTTCCTCTGATCTCAGTTGCAGGTGGGGTGGTAAACACGCCCGATAAAAAGTGCCTCATTTAGCTCCAAACGCCGCTCCTCGCATGTCGGAGGCATTCAGCAGCCGACCTCTCTGGAGCTTATCCTCCCCACCCACTTCATCTAAATTTATCAGCGTGAGACAATGCACCCAGTGAACGTTTAGAGAAGGCCCTAAGAGAGAGAGGGAGATAATGAACGACGACCTGGAATAGATTCCCAGAGTGAAAACGTATCCTGGCCATATTTTTAAAGGCGGATAACCTCACAGGTGACACGGAGAATTGCTTGCTGCGGGGACATCGTAATCTCTCCATCGTTTTGTCTCCTTTCCTGCCTCCCTGCACCGTGCTATCGCACTGTTGGGTCCAGCTTGTAATCATTCCCTCAGGAGAGCTTTGCCCTCTTACCAAACTGATGTCTCCTTCACAGATTGATGCGAGCTTTATGAAAAAGAAAAAATAATCTTTAGCAGTTTGAGCCCAAATCAGAGTGTAATCTCCATCCATCTTTAGAAGGTGAGAAGAAATAAGAACCCACAGGGCCTCTTTTATAAAAATGTGTTAGAATAATAATTAAAAGAACAACTGGAGAGGAATCAGATTTCTGTCATGTGTAACCACCCGAGCTTAATGGAAAAAAGTGGGCAAGTGGAGCTAAACTACAGGGAGCAAGTGAGAAACAGATGAAAGCAATCATGGTTCTGCAGGAGGAATGCTGGAGGAAGGAGACAGAACAACGGACACAGCAGTTAACTACGGCAGAGGAGCGGGACAGTGTGCCTGATGTTTATAACATCCCACAGAGCCAAAGTCAAGATTTACACTCAGCTGTAGAGGAGTGGTGGTGGGGGTGGGGGTAATTCAGGCTTTCAGCAGGAGTGAAATCAAAATGCACTGATACATTTCAAAATGAATTTTCCTGCAGAAATGGAAATTTATGGCCTTAATCCAAGAAAACGAAACCCCCTCTTTACCTGTCTGTCATCTCCTGCCCATTCCAGCAGAGGGAGTTGTTCGCTGGAGCTGGCTCACGGCTGCACAACGCCTCACCGAGACCACTGTAGAAGGAGCTGAAGCCTCTCAAGCTGGTAATGAACTCCCTGAGGTGAAATGAAGAGAATAAAACAGAGATAAAGATAGAAATTTCAGCTTAATAAGCCTGAAAGCAAAATATCCTCTCCCATCAGAAAGAGAAACTAAAAGAGGCCAGAATGGGTGTCTGTTCCTAATTGACATTAATCTACCTATTTTCTGAAGCCTGCAGCCCTGCTGGGTAATTATTGCACAACTCAGTTAAGGTCTGAAGTGGAGAGAGAAAGGATGGTGATCAGAGAGTCAGGGACAATATTTTAGTTGCTTTTTTTTTGGGAGACACTGTAAAACCTTCAAGAGTTAACTCACTTAATTCATTTCCAATTACAGGTTTCAATGATTGAACATGACTGGTGCATCTAAATGGTTTAAAGGATGCATAAAACATTTAAAATCTGAAAAGTTTGGCATTCATTCCTTTAGCCTTTACATTGATGTTATCCAACATAAGGGCAGTTTATTAGTTATTGCATATCAAGGCATATCAAGTGATATGCACCTTTAAGGTTTGCAAAAAGCTGCTTAGTAGACACAGCAAACATGGATTTTCTAGTTAGGAGCTTTTTTTACGGTGTTTTGTAAGTCCAGCACCACATGTCACTGATGAGCATGGAGTGGGCCACGGTAGTGGCAGCATTATACTATGGGAAGGGAAACTGACTGATTTCCTTACCTGCGGAGGCCAGCCAGAGTCTCATCAGAATCTGAGGGCTGAACATCAGGAGCAGATGCAGCAGGAGGCTGATGGAGAGGAGGGGTCTCTACGGAGCGAGAGGCTCGCTTGGTAGCGTGTCCACACATACCGCTGACCTGCAGAGCAGAGAAGAGGAGAACTGGCACTGAGTGAATGACTTAAACCATCCACTCTGTGCTGTGTTTTCACCCCAACCTCTTTATTTACAACTCCTATCAGAAGTGATGCTCCAGAAAACAAGGACCTGTCAGCAGCCAAACCGACACTTTTTTTTTTTTCTGCTGAGCCCTCCTCTGCAAATTGTCATTTGTTTTTAGTGCGTTTATTTTTGGGAAAAGATGAAAGCCGGGGAGGATTTGCATAACAAACAAGTCAGAGGATCCTTTGCCAGCCGTGTTCAAATTTCTAATCATAACTCTCCAAAAAACACAAGAGCACAAAACTGAGGTCCCTGGTTGGCCGTGCCTGTCCGTATTCAACTGCCATTGTCTCTCCACATGGGACGACATTACAATAACCAATAAAGAGTCCCTCTCTGTCTCTCACAGATAATGGAGCTGGCACAATCTTTTCAGGTGCAATAAAAATGCAAATGGCGGTTAATGTTTAGCTTGTGATTTAATGATTTGGCGGATCCTTAATTTCCCCTGGGGATACCGGCCCAGGCTTAATTCTGCCATGTAATGTTAACAGATAATTGTGCCCAGCTCCTTTTAAAGCAAGATTCCCGGGAAGACTGCTACGGAATACCAATGCGGCCGGATGGAGCAACGCTGTACGTCTTCATCAGGTTGGAGCAGGGGGCTGTACACACACACATATACACACACAGAGCGATGCATGTTTTACAGCTTAAACAAAAATTATTGCATCTATTATTCACTTGAGTAATGCAGCTAAGCCTATTGACATGACACAGCGCTACATTATGTGCACGCTGCAAGCACACACGCAACTTAAAGGACAAGAAACATGCTGACTCACTAAAACGCTCATTGGCTTGAAAACAGATTTATCAGCGTTAATCTTTTCAGAGTCGTCCCAAATCCTGTCCTCAACTTCCCTACAGCTCCTCTAAGCCCTATTAGCGTTGTTCTTTGGTGTCTGAGAGGCTGACTTTTTTCAACAACATCTGGGTTTAAACTGAGAGGGTTTAAAATCAGCGCAAACAACCCTGACCTTTCCATATTGTGTATGTCTCTCTGTCTATGTTCTGAATCCTGCCAAGCATATAACCTCCAAATGAGTAAATCTGGTTGCTAAAATCTATTCTCCAGCCACAGCTGTTTAAAATTCAGCTATGATTGCTAATTTGAGGAGTGGCAGTTGTTGGACTCTGAGAAGGTGGAGGTATGCAGCTCCAGAGCAGAGGGTTTCCAGCCTTCTGCACGGCTCCTCTTTTTAGAAAAGCCAGAAATGCTCTCATCCGAGTTATTATTTTTTTTTATATAAATTGTGATCCAACATGAAGGACTAAAAGCCACAGGAGTTTGAAATTTGTTTTTATGTAGCCAACAAAAAAAAAGGTGACTATATTATTTGAAATCAAGTTTTTGAGTCCATGAAAGAGGTTAAAACAAAAGAATTCAACTCAGATAGATGGTAAGAAACAGACAAATTTAATAAGACAAAAGGGGAAACTGAAAGAAAAGCTGATCAGCCTATAATGACACACAGAGAGAGGTCAAACAAACTAAAACTAACATAAGCAATTTCAATTTCCTCCATATTCCAGATTAGTGGTATGAACAAATTTCAAGGTCTCCACACTGGATTGCTCTGCGCCCTTTTCCGCCTCTGCTAAGCCAAAGGCCGAAAGCAGCTGCCGCTTATGGAGAGCCGTTACATACAAAATGAAATAATAAATCTGGAAGTAAAATAATAAAACATAAAATAAATGGTCTTAAATGTTCCTTTAGTTGTACTTCATGGCGACATTTATTTATTTCATATTCTAATTTTGATTCGTGGCCCAGGGTCTTTCTGCATGGAGTTTGCATGTTCTCCCTGAGCATGCGTGGGTTTTCTCCAGGTACTCCAGCTTCCACCCACAGTCCAAAAACATGACGGTTAGGCTAACTGGCTTCTCTAAATTCTCCTTAGGTGTGAGTGTGTGCATGAATGGTTGTTTGTCCTGTTAGTCTCTGTGTTGCCCTGCGATGGACTGGCGTTGTGTCCAGGGTTTACCCCGCCTCTCGTCCATAGACAGCTGGAGATAGGCACCAGCACCCCTCACGACCCCGCTTGGGATAAGCGTGACGGAAAGTAGATGGATGGTTGGATGATAGCAGCATTTTTCTTCTTAGCATATATTTTTTTATTTAATTAATTTTGAATGAAACAGCTCTACATAGCCACTGAGGTAACTCAGAAAAGGAAAAAAGAAATTACATCATATTACATCCATGACATTTTCTCTGTGCTCATGTCAACTTTTGTTCACTTTGAGGCTGAAACCAACCTGAGAAAGTAAACCTCCTGTGATTGGCTACTTTTCAAATAATCCCACCTCTTGATACAGTACTACACTCTTATTAGTAAATTAAATAGTATTACGTTTTTGCAAAAATTTGACTTGTGTTAAAGCCGTAATATGAAGAATGGAATGTCATCATCGTTTATGTGCTTGTAAACAGAAGCCTCTTAATATGCGTCATACTTTAAAATAGTTCTGAGTTCATTCTGTCTTCTCTCTGAACCTTAAAGTAAGCCTGTGGGGGCGATGCAAACATATACCGACTTTTGGTCATATTATAGATGTGTTGCTGAAAAGGTCCTGGTTTTTCATTGTGTTTCTAGGTTGAGGCATCATCTCCAGTGACTCTGTGTATCCATTGGGATGGTTCAGATGGTTACTGCTTTTAATTTGGTCCCAAAACTCACTCACAACGTAACCCTTCAACCTAAACACAATTATCTCTGTTCCTGCTGGAGAGGCTGTTCTGTACAACACTTGAAACTGTGCATAATCACAAGAAATCTGCTTTAGTTTTAAATTAAAACTGAAATCACTATACTGAAGCATGTGCAGCAGCTCAATTTCTGCATTTACAGTGCTTGGTGATTGTGGAGCAAAATACAACAGCTTGTTTCCTTATTGATTCAAGGTGTTTATGTCCTAAACAAAAACACATCTGCACCACTGCTCATCTGTCCAAAGAAGAAAACGAACCAGAAGTAGCAGTGATGGCTTTAATGTGCAGCTGAGAGAGCATCCGTCACTCAGTTTGACGTGAGAAACAGACATGATTGATGGGGGAGCTTGTGAGGGAATATAGCGTAGGAAAATGGTTAAAAGAATGTAAAATGATACCTAAAGGCAAAGCATGACCACTTGAAAACTCCAATATTATAAATATGGCACATTTTTCTCAGAATACATCATGTAGATCGTACGTCGTGTAGATCGTACCCCCTGTACTCAACACGACGTACGATCAGGCTGAAAGTCGGCCCGATCGAAAAATTCTCTCACGGCTGGAAAATCAGCCCAAGAAGGGCAAAAATATCGTACAGTGTAAGCCCGGCTTTAGTTTAAGGTCAGAAATAATCATTCCACTCCATCAATATATTCACCTGTTCAAAATAGCAACAAACACACTTATATAAGTAATGTGTTACTTATTTTTATATTGAAATGTGTAAATACCCAACCCAAAATTACTTCTTAACCCAAGTACACTGCCAAGCTCTGCTGTAGAAAGTTTTAAATGAAACCAACACCTCTGACCACTCCATCAACAATCCTCAATTGTCCATGGAGGAATAACACAATAACAGTAGCGTGGTTCTGTCTGCCAGCTCATTTTCTCCTCTTACATCTTCCTCTCATGCAATTCTTTCATTGTTGTTGGCCCCCAGCGAGTGCCGGTGCTCCCCGCAGGCCATGATTAATGTGATCGGAGCTGCGCCCGACTTTTTTTGTTTGTGCATTCCCAAGAAGCCGTAGGGGACTTGTGGCACAAGGCGGGGGGGCTGGGGGGGACTGAATCAGCATGCACGCTCTGCCCTGCCCAATTGTTTCCGGATTCTTACAGGAAGGGGCTCATTAGCCTAGTATTAATATCACCCTGGGTACGACTAACTCAACCAACAGGAGAGTGTGCAGATAAAGCCTGCCTCAGCAGGAGTGCATGCTCACTTTTATCTACCCTGAGCAGTCTGCCTTGCCTTGGGGCAGAAACACACACCTCCTGAACATCTGCATCAGAGTTCCTGTGTGGCACTTTGCTCGTGCAAACATGGAGCGAGCAAAGATGCAAAAATAATCTAAACAAATCAATGTAAATGCCTACAGGTCAGCATCAAATGTATGTCAAGCTTCTACATTCTTCTGCTCATGAGGAATATGGCAACCATTCCAGAAAGTGACTCCATCCGTGAGGTAGGTGCTGGTGCAGCTGGAGCATCATTCATGTTTGTTTCATGTGTGTTCGGTCCTCCTCCTCCTTCAAAATGGACTCTTGTCACCCGCAGTGAAGTTAACTTCTGGTGAAATGCACATATTACAGACTTCGAATTTCTTACATGAAGAGAAAAGGAGGAAAAATACTCATTGTGAGTGAAAAGTCAAATAATCTCCAACTGTCACAGTTATCTCCAGAGGGAAATGGCTCTGGCTGTGTTGAAAATGAAATATTGTCATCCAGTGTTTCATGCTGATAAAAAAAAAAAAACTTGCACTGTTATAAAAAAAAAGGTTTAATTCAAAGTCTTTCCAGCTACCAACACTGAACTCAAACTTCAAAGTGGGTCTCGTCTCAGTGATGTACTCAGTACTCTCAGTACTATTGACTATTTCTACTCAATAGACAATGAACTGTTACAACTATGGAAGCACAAAAGTTATTAAAGTCAGGTTTTCACTTTATTTAGCACTAGCTGGTATCAATGTATACCAAGTGTCATGATCTGGCCTGTTTGCTCCTGCTTAATTAGTAATTCCTTTCACCTGTCGTTTTCCCACCCAGCCTCAGTTATAATTTATTCCCCTCACCTGTTTCCTCTGGTTTATATTCAGTTCAGCCTGAGCATTCAGTGCCAGATCATTTCTTGTCTTTCTGTTAGTCTGTCTGTTAGTTTTATTCCTTGGTTCATGTCCTGGATCCTAGCTGCC